GATGACTTGCTGCCTGCAGACATTCTTCTGAAAAGCACTATTTTACTACCCAGTCAGTTGAGCCGGGCTGCTTCTGTTACTTCCTTAATCTAATAGCAATTACTTCTAAAAAAGCAAGTAGCAGCAAGAAGCAAAGTCCAAAGTGAGATATTATTTTAATTAAAAAGGACCTATTTGCCATGAAACAAAGTACAACTAATTAGTAACAATACAACAACTGGGAATGACATTTCACATCTACCTACCTACTAAAAACACTTTTAAGAAGGGTCACACTGCTTAAAATAAGTCACAATGTTGAACAGCATAATAAAATGACACCTTCCCCCTCCCCCAAGTCTTAAAATAAAAAACAAAATAAAGGAATTTGATACTAAAAACAAGAAAACATCAGGCCATTTTAAGTAAAAGTTTTTGTCTTAAAACTGCATGTATAAAACTAGGTCTGCAACACTCTACAGATGCCTTTTAACAACTTAAATGAGTGGTGCTTACTATCATTAAGATAATTACATGGGAACCTACAAGAAAACAAAAACAACTGGAAACCTATACACCCTATATAAACATAGGTATTTAGCAAGAATAACAGCAACATGAAAATTTTAAATTAAGTGATATGCTCAGGATAAATTAATGATGTGATATTTTGTTAACTCATTAAAAGTAAAATGGCAGCCTTCTAATAGTCTTTCAGTGATATTTTAAAATTTCCCTTATAATAAAAGTCTAATATCAGTGGCTAGTAAATATAAAGCAAATGTGACAATAGAAGGAGTAAGGCATTTTAAAAGAGCTAATTTAAGACTGCTGAAAATCATAAACGCACACCTTTGTGTCTGACTCATCAACAACCTTAAATTAAAAAAAATACTACAAACATATGTCTCACAGTCCAAGTAAATGTAAAAAATAGTAAGCAAAGTCACTAGACTTAAATATTCATTAAAGGTGCTAGAAGAAAGGTGATAGGGCATGGAAGATACAAAACACAGTTACCCTCTCAATGAAGTACAAAGGCAAAGAAAGGCACCCGTCTCCCTGCCATATTCTGAGTGCTCGTTGCAACAAAAGCTAAGGGCCACAGAAATAATAATTTATATGCTTTCTTTAATACCCATGAGAAGTACTACACACAGCTGTATGGACTACAAAATAATTTTAAAACTATGTTCCCAAATAAGTTTTTAAAAAGATTTTATAATCTTTATAACATAAAGACTTTGTATGCTTTTCTTGTAAGCTTATGATCTGAAGAACAAAGTGAGGAAGAATTATTAAAGGTTGTTTATGTACCTAAAGTGTGCGAACAAAAGTCTGGCAAAAAGGTCATTAATACAAGTGAATGCTTCCTGAAGACTGATGTTTTATGCATGCTAGGTACTTCTTTATACTTTTAAAAGGCCAGAAAATAAACTGTCATCAAATATCTCATACACAAGAACTAAAAAAACTCCCTTAGAAAAGAACCCTGTCTTTTATTGAGGAGAAAATGCCATTCTATTAAGCACCAGTCTTCTTCCTTTGAGGTAAGAGAAGAAATATCATTCTAACCTGCTACATATTCTGCCTAGTTTCCAGTTTCCTAGAGGAAGAAGAAAAATATCATCCCATCTGGAATCAGTCTCCTGCCTTTGGGGTAAGGTGAAAAAATGCTATTCCATAAAGATGAGTTTTCCTGCCTCCTGCTAGAAAAGGAAAAATACTATTCCTCCTCTCATCCTCTCTTTTAGGGAAGAGGAGAAAAGTCATTTTATAGTCTCCAACTTGGTCAAGAAGGCATTTGAGATAAAAATCACAAAACTGTGCTGATTTGATTCCCTACAAATTTATATTACATAAGCTCAACTGGGCTCTCAATGTTATAAGGCAATCATTTTGCACCTCCCTAATTAACTCACAATTCCACTCACTCCGCTCTTTCAAACCTTTTTATTCCTCCTCGAACCTCCAGGGGCTCCTCCCCTACTCCCTCTCAGCTAAGAATCTTAATATTTTACTAAAACCATTAAGGCCATAAGCCAAAGGCTCTCTCTTCTCCTGTCCTCACCTCACATCATCCAGATGCCTTCTGCCACTATCTCTTTTACCCCATCTAACATGATGAAATGGTCCTTCTTCTTGCCCAGTGTATAAGAGATCCCATTTCATATTGTCTTCTCTAGCAGTTTGCCCTATCATCTCCACTCTAACATCCAATCTCTCCATGTGTACTGGTTGCTTCCCTATCCTCTAAAAACATGCCCAAGTATGTCTCCCTATCCTCAAAAAAAATCTCACTTGATCCATCCATCCCTGCTAGCTACCAACCCATATCTTCTGCCTTTTGTAGCTAAACTCCTTGAGAAGGCTGTCTACATTGATTCTTCTATTTTATTCCTTTCCTCTCACTCTCTTAACTTTATGCAGTCTATATTCTGAATTCGTCAATCAATTACAACTGCTCTTGCCAAATCTAATGGCCTTTCTTCAGTCCTCATATATCTTGATCTCTCTGCAGCTTTTGATATTGTCAATCACCCTCTTCTCCTCCATACCTCCTTTTTCTCTAGGTTTTTCTGGGAAAACTCTCACCTGGGTTCTCCTCTCACTTACATGACCATCCTTTCTTAGTCTTCTCTGCTGGACCTTCATCCAGGTAAGGCCTATTAACCATGGGTGTTCCACAGGGCTTTGCCATGGGCCCTCTTCTGTTCTCCCTGAATACGACTTCATCTGGTGATTTCATCAGCTCTCAGGAATTCAATTATCATCCTCTAAGCTGATGATTCTCAAATCTACTGGGGCAGCTAGGTGGTACAATGGACAGAGCATCAGGCCTGAAATCAGGAGAACTCATCTTTCAGAATTCAAATCTGGCCATAAACATTTATTAGCTATGTGACCTGGGCAAGTCACTTAACCCTGTTTGCCTCATTTTCTGCATCTGTCCAAAAAGTATAATCATTTATTTTGAGAGGCTTCCCCCTCCATAAAGGGGATCCATTATGGAGATCAATGAATGGAACCTGGATAATCACCTGTCAGGTATATTCTTTTTTCAAGATTTACACTTGACAGTCACTGAGGTTCTTTCCAACTCTAAAGTTTTGAGATTCTGTGAATAATTCTGTTATAGAACCATAAAATTTAGAACTAGAAAGACTTGTAAGAATATGTAGCCCAAGGGTTCTTATTAGCATGAAGCATGTGAACTTGTATTTATTTTCTTTAAATTAACAATTATTTCAATATAATGGATTTCCTTTGTAATCCTATGTATTTTATTTTATGCATTCAAAAACATTTTTCCTAGAAAGGTTTTTTAGGCTTTGATATTGTCAAAAGGGTACATGGCAGAAAAAAGGTTAAGAATTCCTGACCTACTACAATGCCATCACTTCACAGATGGGAAAATGATATCGATAATGTAAATACTTACATTTATTAACCTGAATTGACATAAAGGTAACAACCAAATAGAAATATAAAAATAAAATTCAAATTAATTTCAAGTCATATTTCAGATAGAAAGGTTTAATAGTTATTTAATAGCTGTATACAGGAAACAATTGCTGTGAAATAATGACTTCTCCAAAGTATAAAAAAAAATTTCTTCCACAGAACAGGCCATTGACTAGGAAGATGAAAAATTTTAAATGTTTTCTTTGAGTGTCAGAAAGCAGATGAAACATATTGTTTACAACATGTATTCAATAAATTTTTCTGCTGAATTTAATCTAATTTATATTCACAAAACTCGTGAAATGGGAGAAACAGTACCATCCCAAAGTTTATAAACTAAGCATAGCACAAGAACATTACAGACCAACTGGCACTCACCTCTATAGGTCGTGAATTATAAATAATTCTAAGGCTAACACAAAAGCTACGTCTGACTATTAAATAGTCACTGCTTTTATGTAAAACTAACATGGGACCATAATCTACATAAAATTAAAACCACATTTTAATTTATATCTATATATCATATCTATGTACATATAATTTTAATTCACCAGTTTTAAATTTGTTTAAACTAATAAAATCAAAACATAGGTACTGAACTCAAACTACAATGTATAAAAGACTTAAGACATAATCTACCCAAGCACAAGATCCTAAGTATTCATTATTTAAATGTTCAATGTTATGTCTCAGGAACTTTTATATGTGTGAATGTAAATTTCTAGCATTCTGCTTCAAATATTTTAAGTACCTTTTCCTGCCCAAAGGTGAGCAATATAAGGCCGAAGAACAAACAGAAGGGGTGTAATCAAGAAACACACCCATGTATTCTATAACAGTAATTCAAAAATACAATGAAAAGCAGGTTTATGCTATGACACATTTTCACCAGAAGTCTTGGAAGCTTTACAAAAATTATGCCGTTGTTGAATATAAGCATAAATATCAGGTTGCATCTAAAGTAACGGACCACACATTGAAAAATTTTATAAGTGATTGTTGCCAAAATTCTAATCTGCTACTGATTAACAGAAGAATGTTGTGCATTTGTTTCTAGTTGTAACCTAACCTTCATGCATATGTAGAAATGAGATATATATACAGTAACAATAACTCTGCATGGTTCTTTAAACTTTATTTCTTTAGCAAAAAGGAAAACCTAACACATTTGGTTTTCTAAAGTATTGGCAAATATATTGCAATTTCATTAAATGGGAATATAAACCAGAGAGTTAAAAAAATAGTACATTTATAAAACAAAAACAAAATCAATTACTCATTGCAACTTGACCACAATATAACCACTATGATCTAGGCCTTTCACAATTTCATATTTGTTGCTTAATATTTGTGTATGTGACTGCATATGGTGCTTTAATACACAGATTATCTTATTGTGACTTACTAATGTTTCTGTTTAAAGCATACTACAAATCTGGAAGTTAAAATTTGTATTTCTTTCCTCAAGGAGCACAGAATACCATCCCGAATGTCTATTGTGCAGAAATAACCTGAAGGCAGAATTACAGCATTATGTTGTAAAAAACCCTTACCAATTTTTCATCAACTGTGATGAGTTGCATGTCTTGAGCTTGATCCTTTGCCAGCCACCATGTGGAAGTGCTCAGTGACCTGCAGTGTAAGACTTGAAGTTAAAAAATGATTCATGCAATGACAAAATAGAGGCAGACAAATCTTACATAAACAAGTTACTTTAACAATATCCGTCTTGTAAAAAAAAAAATGAAAGAAGAGAGATGAGGGCACAAAAATCCTTTTTCTCCCCAATTAGTTCTGTCTGCTGAGTTTTTGGCAGGCTCCCACTTAACAGTTCACAACAGGCTGAACTTTATGTCAGTCTACAGGCTCTGTGTCACACAGAGAGACTGCCAGTGGCAAGGACTGTACTGCTCTATGTGAATGTACAGTAGCTAGTTTGTCACGAACAGACAGAAAATACAAAGCTGAAGCAACTATTCTGGAACTCTGATCCCTAAATGATGGCATCAGAAGGAAAAAATCTTAAGTATATTCTTAATAGTGTAAAGTACAATTGTATAGTTTAATAATGGGATATTAAAACTGAAAAATTTTCATCATAATTAAAAAACAAAAAAATCCAACTAGGTATGACTTTCTTTCATAATTATTTTAATTTAACAATTAGCTTAATTACTTTGGTTCAAAAATTCAGTTGTTAAAAATTCAAAAACAGAAAATTTACCAACAAATGGAATTGACACAATAATGTGTATTCTTCAAACAAGAACCATTATTTTAATATAACTTCTAACCCTAAACAAATGATAACACTTGTAAAATGTTAAATGGCTCATTCATGATCAACTGCTTTCAGTGGATGAGGGAAATTTTTCAATATTTTAAAAAGGCACAGTTTTTTTAAAAATCTAGCTCCTTTATATTTGTATTCTTCTTCAAAAAGAAGTTCTTAAAACTGAGACTTCCTATTTCAAGTACACTTTATAGTTTCTATTAGTGAAGTGCCATGGATATTTGGCTACTGACAGTTAATTTCTAATACTATTCCCCAGCCCTTCTTAATTCTAACTCCTTCCCTCTCTTATTTATGCTGTACATTGCTTGTTTATTTATAATTGTTAATTGTTGTTTCCTCCACTAGAATGGAAACTCCTTGAGAGCAGGACTTTTTTTGCTCCTTTTGGTATGCCCAGCTTTTAGCACAATGCTTGACACAGAGTAGGTGCTTAATCAATGTTTATGGACCGACTACTATTTTAACACTTCACAATTTCTTAAGTTAGCCACAAATTTCCTTTCAGAAAACAAAATGACTGTAGGTATATAAAGTTACCATAGGCATATAAAATTGCCATTTAACATGTCAAACAAAACATTCAATAAATTTATACCAGAAAATATTATATACATATATATGTATATACACACATAATTACTTGTAATATTATAAGAGCTGTTAGGCAGTATTAGACACTGTCTAATATTCAACTTTCAATAAATATATGACCTACTTTAAGGAAATTCATGTTACAAAAATATAAATTGAATGTGATTACTGATAATGCAAAATAACTGTTTCACTTACAAACAAACGTAAAAAAATTTGAAGGTGTAATTTAGTAACGTTATCTACAATTTCACTCTAAGTATTCAACATTAAAACTATCACATTAGACAAGCTACAAACTAGGGCTTGATTTTCTCTATCTGTGTATTTGAAGGAGATAAATCCCATGACCAATGTAGTCTCTTCTATTTCTGAAATCCTATTTCTAAAATCTAATCTAGGAAGCAGGCACCATTTTGGAAAATTTCCTGCTTAAATATGTATACACATACTAATTTTAAGGATAACCTAAAAGTCTAATATATGCTACACTGTGAATTAAACTAATGTTTAAAATAAGGTAGTTAGTATAAATAAAGGCATCAGAATACTAAAATATCATTTGCTCGTGGGAGCAGGAGACATCCAATTACCCATAGCCCCCCAAATTTGGTAGTATAGATTCATCACTAAGAAAATTTTAGAGTTGGAAGCAACTTCAGCATCTATCTAAGTACAGCCTATAACAGAAAAAGAATCCCTTTTTACAACAAAACCAGGAACTGGGCATCCAAACTTTACTGAAAACATCCAATGAGGGAGAACCAAGGTAGCACATTGCTATTTCAAAGAAACTCTAATTGTGAGCAATTAGAAATTTATCCTAAGTTTCCCTTTTTGCAACTTTGACCCATTAGTTCTGCTCTCTGGTATCAAGCAAAAACAAGATAAATTTGCATTGTTGGTAGAATTGTGAACTGATCCAACCATTCTGGAAAGCAATTTGGAACTATGCACAAAGGGCTATAATTGTGCGCACCCTTTCACCCAGCAATACACTTAGACGGCTATATCCCAAAGAGATCATAAAAATGGGGAAAGGACCCACATATACAAAAATATTTATAGCAGCTCTTTTCTTGGTAGTCAAGAATTGGAAATTGAGGGGATGCCCATCAGTTGGGGAATCACTGAATAAGTTGTGGTATATGAATGTAATGGAAAACTATTGTGCTGTAAGAAATGTTGAGCAGGTAGACTTCAGAAAAACCTGGAAGGACTTATATGAACTGATGCTGAGTGAGATGAGCAGAACCAGGGGAACATTGTACACAATAACAACAGCAACACTGTGTGATGACTGACTTTGATAGACTTAGCTCTTCTCAGCAATGCAAGGATTTAAGACACCTCCAAAAGACTCATGATAGGAAATGCTATCCACATCCAGAGAAAGAACTATGGAATCTGAATGCAAATCAAAGAATACTATTTGTGCGCTCTCTCTCTCTTTTTTTTTTTGGTTTTGTTTCTTCTTTCTCATGGTTCCTCTCATTTGTTCTAATTCTTCTTTACAACATGACTAATGTGAAAATATGTTTAATAAGAATGAATATGTAGAGTCTACATTAGATTGCACACCTTCTTGGGGAAGGTGGAGGGGAGGGAGGGGGAAAATTTAAAACTCAAAAGTTTATGGAAGTGAATGTTGAAAACTAAAAATCAATCAATTAATTAAAAAGGAAAAACAAGATTAATTCCTCTCCCATGTGAAAACCTTAAAAAATGTTAGAACATAAAATATTAAAGCTAGACGGAGCCACAGAATACAAAATGTCAGAGCTGGAAGGCAATCAGAAATCAAGAAAAGGTATTTTAACCAAGTATATATAGGTTAGGGATAGGGATTAGAACTGGGGTTCCAGGGCCTAATGAGGAAGAAGCTTCTATCAAGGCAAGGAGAAACCTTCTTCGAAACTTTCAATCTTAGAGATACCTAGATATTGAGGTAGAGTGACTTGACCAAGGTTACTAAGTCAGTATGTGGCAGAGGTGGGACTAAATCCCAGGTCTTTTTAACTACAATGCCAGCTCTTTTTATCCATTCTGCTATACTGTCTCTCAACTGAGTATATAAATTGGTAAAACTGGTTTAATGGCAAATATCTATTTACAAAAGGGAGGAAGCAATTCTTGCTAAGTGATGATGGAGGCACAAAATTCAGAATAGATAGGAAGTTAAAATGTTAGTAAGTTTAAATTTTGAAAGAATTCAACTAAAAACTGAAATTAATCAGCATAAATGTTTTTTGTAAAACAGAGTGGACCAAAAATATGTACTCTTCAGGACTATCCAATATGGTCATTTGGGATTTCACAAATGGTAAATTAGATTTAAACCATCGGGAAGACACAATTTAAATGAATTCTACAAAAGTACATGGTTTTGTTTTGTTTTGTTTTTTTACAACACATTCAAAGTATCTATTCATTTAACTCAGTGTTACATTTTAGAAATGATATTTTCTAGAGAAAATAGATTTAGTTTATATGATTTCTTAGCTACATAGGAAATTGAACCTTGAGTTGGTTATTTTATTTAAAAAGTTAGGTACTTTTTTAGGTCTAGTACTATTTTCCTATAATTAGATAATTTTGAAAGCACTGGTAGTTGAACTATCTCTAGTTTGGGGCCATTAATTCATTTATGTTCCTCCCACCAATTCATATCCTCCTACCAAAGCACATTGGCAACTCATTTGTTACTTGCAGTCTTAGAGAGCTGCTAGTGTCACTGAGAGGTTGTAACCAACCCATTAAGTGAGGATAAGTATAAGAGAACAGAATAGAAGAAAATACAGAACAATCAGAACTGGCCATGTGAATGGAATGAAGACAGCTCTAAAAAGGAAGATGGCAGAATGTGTTAGAAACCAAAATCCAATGATACAGTTGCATTTTTTTTTTACAAGAAACACACTTGAAACACAAAGATACATGAGAGTTAAAATAAAAGGATGGAGCAGAATTTTATATGCTTCAGCTGAAGTGAAAAAGGCAGGAGCAATATACTGATCTCAGATAAAAGCAAAACCAGTCCTAATTAAAAGAGATAAGCAGAAATACTGCATTTTGTTAAAAGAAACCATAAACAATGGACTAATATCAGCAATAAACTTGTGCACCAAATGACATCACATCTAAATTCTTACATGAAAAGTAAAATGAGTTACAGGAAGAATTTAAACAGTAAAACTATAATAGTGGGGAGGAGGCTTAATTTACTCCTCTCAGAACTACATAAATCAAATCAAAAAATTAATAAGAAACAAGTTAAGGACCTGAATAGAATTTCAGAAAAGTTAAATATGACAGATCTTTGAAGATTAATGAATAAGAACAGAAAGGAGTACATCTATTTCTCAGCCATCCATGACACAGTCACAAAAACTGATTATGTATTAGGGCATAAAAAAACTCACAAACAAATGCAGAAAAACAGAGAAGTTAGATGTATCTTTTATTGACCATAATGCAATAAGACTTTACATTCAATAAAGGGTCCTTGAAACAAATAAACTAAATGACATAACCCTAAAAAATGTAGATAAAAGAACAAATTATAAAAACATACAATAATTTCATTAAAAATAATAATGATGAGACAACACACCAAAATTTGTAGGATATGGCCAAAACAGTAATCAGGGGAAAATTCCTATCTCTAAACTTGTTCATCAATAAAAGAGAGGAAGATCAGATCAATGAATTGGACATACAACTAAGAAAATTAGAAAACCAACAT